ATTTTGCTATGTAAAATTTGCGGTTCCTATTATACGCGGGTCCTAACAATTTTCAGCTTTGATGAGGCGCGATCTAACACTGTTTGACGTAGTTTCTGTTTCGAAGCAACAAGGCTCTCAAAACAGCTATTAAAATCACAATGTTCGAGGCGCCACCACCCGTCAACAGTGAGGCTCAGCAATGGCGTCGGCGCGAAGACGATAATCGACCGCCTTCAAAAGAAAAGCACATTTGGTTGCGGAAGGCATCGGCAACAGTGCCTCCGGACGACAATTCGCCGTAAATGAGGGCAGCATCCGCGGATGGAGACAACAAAAGCAAGCTCTGTTTGCTTGCAACGGAACGAGAAGAAGCTTTAGGAGCCCGAAGAATGGCGTGTTCGCCGACGTCGAGGCAAGTCTCAGCGGAACGGCATCTCGCCGTAAACACCGAGCTGCTACATGAGAACTTTGGCGAGCCGACATTGGGTTACTCGCTTTATGCGCCGTGCCAAGATTTCACTGCGTCGGCGCTCGCTCGTCGCTCGTTCTTTCAAGTGCGGGATTTCAAATGCGCTCGACGGCACTGAAGACTACTTACTGCCTTTGGGAGGAGGCGTCGTACAAGGAGTCTGACGGACGTGATAACAGTGATTTAAGGTTCAGTTATGACGCCAATAAGGAATATTTTCGTAATCCTGATTTTTTTTCGTATTATACGCGGATAATGTTTTTTTTGCAGTCCTCAAATTATGTTTTGTATTATACACGGGTTTTTACGGCACTCTTCTACTGGTCCGTCGTTCATTTGCGCTGTATTCTCGTTCCAACAAGCTTCGAAGGGACACAACCTAAAAATAGCAATTTTTTTATACTTTTCTTGATTGTACACGGAAAGTTAGCCCACTTCAAATTTTCACCCGATTTGCTCTTGATGTTAGGTGGGCTATCTCTCGGGATTTTACGGTACGTTCAGTGAGCTCAGGTTCCGTGCAAATTAAAAACCAGTCAAAAAGTTGTTGCAGGGCCCCTTTAAAAAACTTCATATCGTACAGATTCCAAATGACTATAATCATAAACTTTGTATCACCTATAAAAAGTCTTTTCATCACAAAGAAAACTTATTTCTGTTTATTTCCCAGATTACAATTAGAGACACAATTTGTGATACGCGCAGCGCAGGTACGTGGTTAGTGCTGCACTCCAGAACAAATTATGAAAGTCAGATGTTGCGAAATACCCTTCCCCGTCTTTTAAATCGTTTGAGAGAATTAAACATAATAGAACTTTTGTCTAGGGGAAACAAATATTTGCTTTCATTTTTTGTTGAGCATCCAATGTTAGTGTAGGTGCATGACATGTGGTCATTTTCATTTTCATTGCTTTTTGTTTTATTTTAAACAAATAATTACATATACCATTTATTTTTGTGTGTTAACTGTTTTGTGTTCTGTCTCTGCTGCTGCTGAGGGGAGATGGAGACCTGTCAAGCAAGTGTTTTGTTGCTTTTTTCTCTGTTTTCCCTCTCCAAGTGAAGAAAAATAAAGAATTTTGATTTGATTTGAATGAAAATTTGAAACTTCGGAACTCAGTATCTGTGAAGTAAAAAATAACAATTTCCTAAAGCCGAATTTGAAGTCCCCGCATTATCCACACGAGTGCAGTAACGTCAAATATTGACTCGTCCTGCAGCTCGCTTACCTCCCGCCTTTGAACCGACCCGAAGTGCCGTGTTTGCCACCGTCCCGTAATCAACCGCTTGCGTGCCGCCTATTGCTGCGAGCAGACGACGCTTCACTTTTGAGTTTGAAGTTCTTTTAGGGATCTTTCAGCGACCTCAAATTCTTTGAAACGGTGCGAGATCGAACAGAACGTGCAGTAGACTTTTGTGAGTAACGTGAGCGGCCGTGTGTCGCGCCTGTTCTGCGTGAAGGGCTGCTTCGGCGGAGTCACAACCGACACTACAGTACAAAGACACCAAAAACCCAGTTGTTTTGACCGTTTGACAATTTCCTTTTCGAAGATAGAGAGGTCGTTGGGTGCCTCAACAAGAGAACTCCATGCGATTCCTCGACTCACCGATCATCCTCAGTGATACATGTGTCAAGCACCGCCATGTTTTCCAAGGCAGGATAAAAAGCCAGGAGGTGACATCACTACGGACTCCGATTTTCGAATTTCAGAAAGAAAGGTTGTAGAGCGTTCACAATTGCGTTAAAACACGTTTTATGAACGCCATTATTAGGTATTATAGGAATGTCACTTACAAAGCTTTTAAAAATTTCATATTTTTGACGTCACAAATAAAAAGCAAGGACGTGAGAAGCAGGAGAGAAGAGCGCCAAAAATAAAAAGGTGCACGTGGGAAAATTTTTTTTTTTTTTTTCGTTGTGGTATTTTTGTGCATGTCTATAACTACAATTTCATCATTTTAGAAAAAAAGAAAAAAAAAAGACCTTTGGGATATCAGCACCCCTTTAAATTGACCCCGTGCACACTTTATCGCTTTTATCTATTGTGTGCGCAGCCAGGCAAAAAAAGACAACAACTGCAGCGTGCAAACAAGCCACCAGGTGGCCAAACCAACCCAAGCCAGCATGGTTGCGGGCGCACGCATTGTGCCATTGTTCCTGTTATGTTCTGATTCGCTTTATTTTCTTTCTCTTCTTTTAGCTAGTCTAACGACGACGATGTTAGCTCACGGTATGAGCTGAGTGACGTACATGTCACTCAGCTCATACATGGAACCCCAACTCGACTGGTCATTGCCTAGGCTGCTTTAACATACTTTTTGGCGACGAGGATGGGATGAAATGGAAGAAATGTTTGCAGTGAAACTTAGAACTGCCCAAAAGTCGATTTGTGTGAATCGACCGATGGTTGGGAGGGGGGAGGGAGGGAGGGAAGGGAGGGGCAAAGGGGAGGGGAGGGCACAGGAGACACGAAATCTCCCGCGTTTCATGTATTACCCAAAAATTTCGCTATCCCGCCAATGCACGATGCTTGTGCGAGCTAAAATTCAAAATAAAAGTAACCGCAAAAAAAAAAAGAAGCCCACCGGGAGACGACAACGCTTGCCGACGCTCGACAACACACAAACGGAAACCAGCACCGTGCAATTGAAATATCGGCCTATATTTTTTTTTTCCCTTTTGTAATTTTCCTCTAGCTTGTGAAGGGCACGGTTCGACTCCATCTTGGATTTTCGAAACAAAGTTAAAATAGACATAAATATTCTTACACAAACCCAGAAAAAAAGGGGAGGATGAGGGAGGGAAACGATGAGAGGGCCGAAAAAGCCAAGATGGAGTCGAACCGTACCCTTCACAAGCTAGAAAAAAATTACAAAAGGAAACAAAAATATAGACCGATGTTTCAATTCCATGGTGGTGTTTTCCGTGTGTACGGTGTCGAGCGTCGGCAAGTGTTTTCGTCTCCCGATGTGCTTTTTTTTCTTTTTTTTTTTTTTTGCGGTTATTTTTGTTTTGAATTTTAGCTCGCAGAAGCATTGTTCATTGGCCGGGTAGCGAAATTTTCGGGCGATAGTGAAGAAAGCCAATGTGGCTAAGCAAGGCGTACAAGCAACGTGGCTTGATTTCAGGCATTACGCAGTCCTACGAGATGTTTTGTCCATCAAATATATTAGTCAACAAACATGCAAACAGATGTAGTCCGCTTTCGAAGAGTGACATTATGCAAGTGTGGTTAGGCCTACAAATGACCATGTTGCTTTCCGTGTCGGGTGGCCGAGTGCCGCTGACGTGGAAACTGCTTGTGGCACTCGGGAGTACAATTTTGCGTTTTCTTTGGTGCAGAAAGTGTTCAAGGCACCCAAAAAAGGTCTGAAATTTCCAGAGCATAGTTAATGCAGCGCGTGTCCGTTAGTAGAGGCAGGCAAAAATAATCTTCTCCTGGTGAGTATTGAATAAAATACAACCGGTTCGAGTGTTGTTTCTCTAATTCTGATTATGTTTAATTCAAAGCATTTTCCTCTCCTCGCGAGCTTCGAATTATTAAGTCGGCTGTATTGCCGATATAAGAGAGTAAGCTGACCTCGCACAAACAGATGTGCATGCACACAGAAAGGTTCCCCTTTATCATCGATAGAATTCATTGCAAGAAGGTCCTGGGTATGCGCGAGTGAACAAAATCATTCTGAGATATAAACGAGTGTTGCGGGGTAAATATTGCCTTACTCTATCCCTTCAGTTAAAAATATTGTTTGAGAGTTCAGCGTCCCTTTTAAAAGCTCTTGAGCACTGAGGTGCGCGTGTTCTCAACGCCCTCCGCATGTCATGCAGGACTCTGCCATTTCTACGCCAAGCCTCCTTGAGCAGGATCATACTTTTTATTGTGCTTCACTTTAATAAACTAATGGTGCATTGTGCTTAGCCTACAACGTGTAAAAATACTCCAGGAGCCGGGAGGCATCGAAACTAAAATATGAACATTGGCTTAGCAAAAATGAAATGTAGCACTACATGTCATTTTAGGCATGTAATTCTACATCTACTACATACCGAAAATGGAGCAGATTAGCTTTTATGGCACAATTTGCTGTAATGTCCCATCATTGCATTCTGTTGCTGGTTCAAGAATATACATTAACAAGCAGACAAAAAGCCATGCTTTTTGTCTGCTCATCATTGTATATTCATGGTATCATCAGTAAGCATGCAGCAAATGTGATGGTCTATCCTCACATACAGGCCTTTTGGTTGACTGGTTAGGAAGGTGGTTCCCGACCACTAATGTTTCAGCGACCCCTTCTGGATCGGTAGAAGTATACCCCCCCTGATAAAGGGCCCCCATTTGAGAACCATTGTGTTAAGGCATTCCCTTACGCTAACCAAGTCTGGCCAAGCCAGAGGTTACGGACAAATGCAAAAATACCCCAGAAGCCAGGAGGCGCCAACAGTAAGGTAAGAATACTGACCAGACAATTCTGGCTTGCTCTGGACCTAAAAAAGTTGCACGGGGCACACCGAGGGGGAAGCAGCCAAAACGTCAAGGGCACCCACCTCGCACTTCCCCACATCCAGGGCCCTGAGCCGGGGGCAGGAGCGAGCGAGCACTTCGAGGGTGGCGTCCGAGACGGCCTCGCAGCCCCGGGCATTGAGGTAGCGCAGCCGGTAGCAGTGGCGACACACCTGCTTCAGGCCCGCGTCGGACACCCGCTCGCACTTGGCCACGCTCAGGTAGCGCAGATGGGGCCCCAGCTTGGCTAGCTCATACAGCCCAAAGTCCGTCACCTGCACAGACGTCCGTCGCGTCAGGCTGTGCCGCTTTGCACCGGCGTGTGCATGCCAAGCTTCACTGCCTTGCACTGGTAATCTGGTACCGAGCTTCGCCGCTTTGCACCGGTGCTCTGGCGTCGAGCTTTGCACTCGTATCCAGAGAAATGGCTGACAAATCGAAGCATCTTGGATGAATCGATGGGCTTACTCGCGTAATGGACGGTGCCGGAGAAGAAAAGATAGAGCTACGGTCAAATAAGTGAGATGGTAATCGCATTGCTTCCCGCATTACCTTACGTTTTACCCAGCTCACCATGCAAGGGTCTTGCGTTTCCTAATAAATGTGAAAAGTTTCTCACGATGTAAGTGTATCGTTTCATAGGTATGTTTTCAAGAAATAAAGTTCCAGCCGTGATTTATTAGTGTCCAAGCTCAATTCACATCACAAGTAAAATATTTGCATTCGAAAGTGTTCTCCATATAGGATTCACTGTCCAATTTAAATATTCATGTTCGATTTGCGGTCAAGACTTTAACATTCGTGCACGTCCAGGCAAAATGTTTCTGCCCCTTACTTTGTCACACGACGTTATAGTCCCTAACGAGGTGAGAACAGCGAGAAAGAGATCTTAGACAATGTTTGGACATCACGTGTACCCCGAATGCATGCGCACAGCAGGGGCACGGCGGAGGGCACGGAGCGCATACCGGAGGCCGGGCACTCGAAAGACGCATGTGCCACTCTCATTCTGTCGGCGACCAGAGCCCTTCCCACTCTAACAACCAATCCCCCGTGATGTCGAGCCCAAGGGCTACCTGGAGGCAGTCGCTGATGCTGAGCTCCCTGAGCATGACGCAGTAGCTGGCCACGGCCTTGACGGCGGCGTCCGTGATGCGCAGGCAGCGCCGCAAAAACAGGTGGGTCAGCTGGGGGCAGCCCCTGGCCAGGGCCTTGACCCCAGCGTCCTCCAGGGCCTGGCAGTCTGTCAGGTCCACATACTGCAGGTACAGCTGCCGGGGTGCGCCCCGCCCGGGCAGTGACGAGTCCGCCCGCCCATGGTCCGTCGGGCCACCGCCCCCGCCCGCGGGCACCGCCGGGCGGAACTTTACGCTCGTCACCTGGAAGCACCCTGCGCGAGACGGGACCGGCACGTCGCAAGGAAGCTACGGTGCTTTTGCAAGATGCTCCGACTTGCCACGTTTTCTGAATACATGGGATTTACGTCTCTAGGCAGGTTGCTTATTATACCTCTAAATCGGGAACGGTTCGAGAGGAAATGGCAAATTTATTTATTCTTTCATTTACCCTCCAGTGCCCAGAGGACGTTATTGCAGGAAGGCGATAAATGCAAAATGTACACAACAAAAATGTACACAATTGTACAAAGAAATGTGCACAAAAGAAAGAAAGTGCAGAAAGGTATGTACAGTGCTCAGCAAACTCATCTGGAACACATGCTAACCCTACTCTTGGCTTGTTCCGTTTTATTTTTTTCGATGTGTGTGTGCATAGCTGGCGCTAGCCCTAAGCTATTTCACTTTGTGTCCCACTATGTCCATAGCATACCTTCAGTTCACATAAATATGCGCAGTTCTCTCATATTTTATCTTCCGAAGATGGCTGTTTCCCGGTCCCTGAAGACTCCTTTGGGTCTCAATTGGAACCATGTGACTGTGGAACGCTGTGCTGTGGCTGGAGGTTTGCCGTTCCTGGCAGTCAGTGACGCTCGAAGTCGGGATGGACTTTTCGAAAAACATGTATTTACAGCGATAAAAAAAACACTAGAAAATGTCACGCTTCTGTTGCCACTCACAGCAGCGAAACGTCAACAAGTGCACCTCGGCGCATGTGCCCTGCAAACTCTTTGCCGCGCACGACAAATATGCGGGTTGTAGGGACCGTGGGGAGAAAAACGACTTGCTCCGCACACCGGCCCATTTCAACCCACTCGTTTCCTCAAAAATGCCGCTTGTCAAAGGGAGAGCCGAGTGGCAGCGAAGTGTACGCACCAGTGAGGTCGAGGCGGTCGAGGCTGAGACAGCGGGAGACCACCTCCGAGACGCCCACGTCCGTGACCTGGGTGCAGCCCCGCACCTCGAGCGTCCTGAGCTGGGGACAGCGTCGGGCCACCGCTGTGAGGCCCCCGTCGCTGAGCCGCAAGCAGCCGCTCAGGCAGACCCGCTCTACGGCAGAGCACACCCCCGGGGTGTCCCTGCTCAGCAGGCGGAACAGCGTGCGCAGCCCTGGGCACGCCGCGGGATGGAATCTCCCTCAGTGGGCACGGCAACAGGATGATGAAATAATCAAATTACTTCCCACAATGCGGCAATGACTAAACTGACATGGAACAGAAAATTATCCGCAAATAGATGGCAATAATTTCATGGACACCTTTCTCAAACTCTGTTTCAAAATACGGAACCCCAATGTGCTAGATTTGTATAAAATAATTGCGAATCCAGAGCGAGTGTTAGCGTGAAAGGATCCTACATTGGAAATTAGTGAAAGCAGTGTCTTTTCGGTTTAAAATTTCTAGATATTTATAACAATGAACTATCAATTAATAGGGATACAGTGTAGACCGCATATAACGTATGTCTCGGGAGTCGCGAAAATCCCCACTATAAGCGGTACCGCACTATAACCAAAACATCAATTTTTCAGGCCAAAATACATGCCATGAGACAACTTACCTTTGTAAAAGAATTTATTTTATGTTAGATGAAAAATAAAGCTTAGTTTGAGGAAAGTCTTTATTTCACCAGACTATAGTACAGTTCTGTCTCAAGTGTGTCACACATTTTGAAAGAAATGAGCGGCTTTTGCCTGGCGCAGCCTTTTAACGGCGTCGCGGGTTGCGGACGGACGTTGCGAGCGTTCAGGATTGCTAACCCTAATCACTTTTCTCCGGAGATGAAAACGCGTGAAAATTCGCATCCTTCATACGGTATGCGCCAGTAACACCTTGAATTTGAGCACACGCATGAAATGCGCCAAATAAGAAATCCGGGCGATGTTCGAGGACACAAATGCTTAGAAATCACCACTGTAGTCGAAGTAAACAAACACGACGACACGGGCGTTTCTGCCGTCTTGAGAGCGCCGCCACGACATCGCTGCACGAGTAGGTGGATCTTCCCTTCTAGTACGTGCTGGGTTATCATAGCGACACACAACGAAAATTCACAGTCAAGGATACGCAGATTGATGAGATGAACGGCCGTCTACGACGACGATCACAACCGACGCCATGTTTGCGGAATAGAAGCAGCCGGCCCGCGACCGGCATGCAACGCGCGCGAACACTTCTCCTCGACCTGCGATTGGTCTGTCGTTGCGGTTGTTTGTTTCTTTGTTTCCAACGCAGCAGAGGGACGCACGCACGTGAACGACTCGTGCGTGCGTCCCTCCGTCGCTATGGCAACTGAAGCCTCTCTCTTCGATTCTCCCCGCGTTTTCGAGCAACCTCCTCGCCCCGCGAGTGCAGTTTGCGGCTCGCGCCAGCTCGCGCCGTCAGCGCCGTTATCTAGTGCCGCCCAGGGAAGCGAGCTCGCTGCTCCGGTCGTCGGCGCGGTCGGCGGGCCGTGCCAAAAACCGCACTATAACCGGTATTTCCCTTCGCGCGCCTGCATTTTAAGCAGTATGTAATTACATGGAGTTCTATGGGAGGTGAACCGGTGGTTCAAAAAAACCGCGTTATACCCGGTCCTGCACTATAAGCGGTTACGTTGTAAGTGGTCTATACTGTATGTTCTTACAGGAACTGTGTTATATGCCAGAAAGAGTGGGTCATCCAAAAAAAATTGGACCCTGCTCGAAGAACTTCTAAGGGAGTGGAACAAGTTGCCTAAAAATGTCTTCTTGATTAACTTTCCAAATTATGTTTGATAGATAACTCTTATGCTTGTGAGAAATCCATCTCCCGCAGTAATGCCTCACAGTGATGCAGGCTTTGCCGTAAAAATATAGATAAAGCAACCGAGAAACCTCTGGGAGTACCATCCCTCGAGCACACGTATTCTCTCCTTCCCATCTCCGGCCTAGTCTCAATGCAAAGGGGCACTGTACCATAGTCCTTTTGTACAATCACTACCATATGTGATGCATGTTGAAGGAATCATGCGACACGGACAGATATCATAACAGTGTGCATTTATGCATTCACTACAGAATGATTCACGTTAAAGTAATTGCAAACCATCGCACTACCGTAAAATTCAACAAGGGCACCCACCCAAAATGGAGATAAATCTTTTTCACAATTTATGTATGCTTTATGTATTTCAGAGCTCTGTCGGCTGCCATTTGCCCATTGAAAGTTTCAGAAAATCACTTACAGTCGACTCTCGTTAATTCAAAATCTCTTAATTCAAACTTGCGGATAATTCAAACTAACGTGCAGGTCCCATCCCATGCGTCTCTATGGGAAGAAACTCCTGATAATTCAAACTTTGCTTTATTCAAACAAATTTTCGGCCCCCCTCGAGTTTGAATTAATGAGAGTCGACTGTATAACTTTTGACTAAGATAACAATTAGTGCTGAAACTTTGTCGTCTGGTTCTGACAGCTAGTGCTATATTTGGGCGAATAATGAGCGTTTGGCGATAAACAGATTATTCTTGCGGGAAAAAAAACCCTGTAAACTTTTTTTGGACACCCTGTACATTGTTGTGTGCCAAAACAATGAAACATATCAAAGCATAAGGAGTGCAAGGCAACATACATACCCAGGGTATGCAAAACGGAAAGGCATTGCTGAAGAAATCAAAATGGTCACAATACATAAGAAGCTATACAGTCAAACACGTTTATAACGAACGCCTCTACAGCAAAATTACCCGTTCAACTAAGCACAACCAAATACCCGGCCCCTTTCCCATGTTCAGCATATTTTATTGACCACTACAACAAATTTTTGTTTTACAAATTATTCTGTCAAACGAGGCATAAGAAACCGCTATTATAACAAAATATCTGGGTAAAACATAACCGATTTCACATAAATCATTGTGATGAAGTAATGCACGAGGGGAGGCACGTAAAATAAATGCAGCAGTGGCAGCGGCGGCTGCCATGGCCACCGACGCATTGTGAACCCTCCCTTGGTCTTAAGTATAATTATATGTTAGTGCAGATCCGTGCCTTTTGGGTAGCGCCACCTTGCAGCTCCGAGCATTTATTTTTTTCTTGTTTTCTGAACCCCTCGGATCCATTCTTCTACAACTTTCACCTACGCTTGATTCCCTTCATTTCGAAATTATCAGATACATCAATGTGAATTAATGCATATGATATATCGCCGAACGCTCATTCTCGACCCAAACGTAGCACTAAAGGTCCGAACCAGATGCCAAAGTTTCCGCCCTAACAGTTATCTTATTCAAAAGTTATATGTAGGTGATTTTCTGACACTTTATATAAAAAAATGGTGCCCATTTTAGCCCATTTTCAATAACTGGCGCCATAGGGATCGATATATTCCAGCTCAGTCGGCCGCCATTTTCTACTGAAAATGGCAGAAAATCGCTTATGACTTTTGAGTAAGATAACTGTTAGTGCCGAAACTTTGGCGCCTGGTTTGGACCTCTAGAGCTATGTTTGGGTGAAGAATTGGCGTTCTGCGACGCATAGTTTATTTTTGCCACGAGAAAAACCTCGTAAATTGTTTTTAAACCCTGTACAAGCCTGGCTTGTTTTTTTTTCTTTTTTTTCTGGGGTGACAATATATGCACGTTCAACCGTTAAACAAAACAGTGAAAGCCGTTTACAACTCCCTGTAACGCCGAATTGGAGCGCAGCTCTTGAGGAGGAGGAGGAAGGGTACTGAGGGGAGGGTAGACCCCTCTTCCTCCTCCCCTCAGGAGTTATGTGACCTTGGGGGGGTCACGTGACCTCGCGGTTACACTGATGGCGACGCCGCTCAAGCCGGAAACGGGCGCCCAAGAGCTGCGCTCTAAAAAATAGAAACTATAACAGACGGCAGTGTTAGAATGATTAAAGGCTGGGTCACACACCTGTGACTGCTTACGAATGACCACATTACAACCTCCGTGATATCTTACGACTAGAGAATGCACTGGCATCACCTATGAGGTGGCCCTGGAACTGCACTCACTAGAGCAGCTATCCACAAGAAACAGTCGTTCGTAACATTCTCAAAAGCCATTCAAGCCTACAGAAAAAGGATTTTGTGCGAAACAAATAGCAAATCTACAGAGGTTGCGAGTGTTTCACGGTGTGCTTTTACTCGTCACAAGAGATCGCGGGAGGTCATAACACACTCAGTTGTAAATAGTCGCAACTGCACAAAGGAGCCCTAGATCGACGAGGCGGTGCAGCCACATACCGTGGTCCACGGGCAGCCTTTCGGAAGCCAGCACCACACTGGTCCAAAGCTGGGGCTCCCAGGCCAAGAAGTACCAGCGCCGACAGACGCGGGCGCAGCGGCACAGCTCGTCGCTCGCCAGGAAGCCCAGCACTCGCAGAAGCAGGTCGTCCGGCAGTCGGTCGAATGGACACCAACCCCTGCATCAGATGTCCCCCGACGTTAACAACGGAACGGTTGTGGCACTTGACGGCGCGCTTGCTGTCGACAGACATTACGGCACGCCGCAATTTCACGAAGGCACCCGTCTCCCTGGCTTTGTGCGCACAATCGGCGATTGCCGATCTGGCTTTCACCTTTCTGGCACTTCTGCAGACCTCTGGCAATGGGTGGGACAAACCTCCTCGCGGATGAGAGGCTCTCTCTAGCCTGGACATTGGCGTAGGACTTGGGCAAGTGGAAGGTCGTGCAGGTATGATGTTTAGATGGTCGATGCCACAGGTATGAGCGTTGGCCCGTGAATCAGGCCTAGTAGCTCTTCATGAACCGCATTGGCACGGCACGATTGTACCACTGCCACAGATAGCTTGAGCGTTATCGATAGACATAGATTGTCTTGTGTTTGTCGAATGTTCGATAAACGGGAGCAGAACTTCACTCCTCGTTTATTCTGTGCGCTTAAAGGGGCACTGACACCCCAAAGGTCGTATATTTTTTTATTGTCTAAAACGATGCAAGTTGCAGTCATAGACACGCATAAAAAACCGCATCGCGAAAAAAAACTTTCCCGCGCGAGCGCGCGCCTGTTTATTTTTGATGTTTGATTCTCCCGCCTCTCGCCTCCTCGCTTCTTTTGATTCGTGACGTCATGAATCATGAAATTTAGAAGCTTTGTAGGTGACATCTCTATAACATTTAATAACGGCAATCCTAAAACATGTTTTTTAACGCAATTGCGAACGTACTACGGCCCTTCTTTTTGAAATACCAAAAATCGGGAGTTCGTTGTGGTGTCATCTCCTGGATTTGTATCCTCCCACGGAAAACAGGCGACACCGCTCAAAACCAGTCCGCCGGCGCCACCTCCTTGGCCGGCGTTCGCTCCTTTCCTCCTCGCTTTGGGTCACCATGGCAACAGCAAGGAGTCGTGAAAGAAAGTGGACTCTCAGGACTCCGCGATATTTGACGTCAACGCACCGGCGCGGATCGCGCGGAAACTTCGAATTCGGCATTTGGAAATTGTTTTTTTACTTCACAAGTACTGAATTCCCAAATTTCGAATTTTGAGGGTAATGTCCCGGCATCGTTTTGAATCGTTTCAGATAATAAAAAAAATATGATTTTGATGTGCCAGTGCCCCTTTAAGCTTCATTTACATATCAAAAACATAGTCTACAGGCTTGGTGACGGATGTACATAGAATTCCCAGAATCGCCGTAAACACGAGTCACTATGTGGTCTAGTCAGTGTTGGGTAAAGTACATCTAAAAAGTACTTGAAGTACAAAGTAAATGAGAGGTTATGTACTTCAAGTAAAGTAGTAAGTAACCCTTGTCACAATGTACTTGCAGTAGAGTACTATAACTACAATGTACTTTCAAGGTAAAGTACAGGTACTTTTTAACACAATCTTTCATGATGCACTTCCATTCCCCTAACTGCTTTTGTGTTTTTGTTTTTAACTGGTATGCATTGCCCCAGGGGTAATCGGGGGTGCATCAGTTATTTTCGAAAATGGCAGCAAATATTGGATAAAGTCAAGTGGCCACAGAATATAGTTATTTTAAAAAATGGTGCCAAATGCAAAAGTCTCTTTGAGTTCTTAATTTGGTGCTCCTTGTACTGCCTTGCACCTAAGGGGGTTAAACATACTAGGAGAGAGCATGGCGTCAGCCCTGTAGCTTCCGCGAGCAATCCTCTGGTGGAGTAGCGTCCTCTCCTAATATTTGGGCTGACCGAGCGAGACGTAGTCAGTGTTCAAAAGGCTGTTGGAAAGCCGCCTCCAGTACGAACGGAGCGATGCAGCATCTGCTCGCGTTTCTGGTGAAATTAAAATACTCTTCCCACTATATCTTCAGAGTTGACAAAGCATCATTTTGTGACACAAACTTTAGCAAGACCAAATTTCGGGAATGTACCTGAAAGTCGGGAGTTTTACTTTCCTCAGATAGCACCAGAAAAAAATACTTTAAGTGAAGTACAAGTACATATCCAGAGAATGTACTTTAAGTTAAGTACAAGGTTTCTAAACCTACCTGAAGTGGTACTTTAAGCACAGTGTACATTAAAGGGGCCCTCCGGAGCGTTCTGCGATGGTCTATTTATGGTGGTAACTCAATCTACAGGCCCTAAGGATCCTAAAAACCATAATATTGCGGTCATGCGCGGTGGATTTCCCTACTAAAATTGCTATCAAAGTCCCCGGCACGCCCCCCTTTCTGAGATGACCCCGGAAAACGGGAGGGGCATCTCTTTACGCGTCAGCCAATAGCAAGCGAAGGATTCCGGCGTCACTGCACGTCGCCAGCGCGGCCGACCGCCGACCCGCGGAGGAATCTCTCGAACACGAGCGGACCGTCGTCAAGGAACCCGGACTTTGTGCTCGGCAGTCGTCGTTCGTTGCACCGCACCGTCGCGCTGCTACTGCAATATGCAGTCGCATCCCACAGATGACAAGGAAAAGTTTGACTCGTTGACGTAGAAGGATCGCAAAGCTGGCTTCGGAGTCGGGATCCACGGGAAGAAGGAACATGTGTCCCGCAAACCCACGCCTGCAGACGCCCCGGGAAGCAAACGAGCTGACGCACCGACGCATCACCCCCTAGCAACAAGCTTCTGGGGAGAAAACATAGTTCGCTGGTTTTGGAGCGATAATTGCGGACTATGTTTCCCGCACCACAATCAGTTTACGTTTTTCTCAAACTTAATTTATAACAAGCTTAAAAAGTGTTGCAATAATAATGTTCGCATTCACCGCGAGATGCAGCATTTCCATTGGTCAAGTTTCAGCGATGGGCAGGGAATGGGGGATTGTCTTCCAAGAGAAAATAGTCCCGATATATTTCTTCTGCCATCTGCTGAATAGACGGTTTTGTAATCTAAAACTTTGTATACATAACTTGCACCTACTACGAAATATAACAACATAAACAGACGATCGCAGAAAGCTCCGAAGGGCCCCTTTAAAGGGGTGGTGCAAAAATTTTCAGACTTTGGCCAATTAACTGTGGTACTAAATCTGAGGCACCTATGGAACGAAAAGCAGAGAACGGTATTTTCTTGCGAGCACTAGTTCTTATATAAAAAAAATTAAACACATCGAAGGTCAAAGTGCCTCTCAACTCTCCATGTCGACTTTTGAGTGACGTACTCTGAGGGTTCACGTCGTTTCCCCTTGGATCTTTCTCTTCAGAGACCCCAGCCACTTCCTTCGCAATTGTCGACTTTTAAAAGATTAGCATCGTCGAAGGTCGCGGCGAGCGATCGACACAAAGGACGGTTCGCCACGGGGCTGACGGCGAGTGTAGCAGCGGAGGGGGACAGGTTTTGTTGACTTCTGCGTATCCCCCAGAGACGCTGTCATTTTAGTTCCAGTAACTGCGAAAGGCAGCTGCAGATTGGCAAATAAGTTGTTTTTTGCTTTGCAATTACGCAGCAGAATACCAGCTTTTCGGGGAAACGTGACGCGTTTTTGGTCACTTAGGCTCGCATAAACAATATAAAAAATGTAAATTGCCAATTCTTTCAACATTAAAATCATTTCACTGCCCCTTTAAGAAAAAACATTACCAAGAAAAAAAGAAATTCTCCAAAAAAAGTTGATTTTGAAAAATATCCTATTTACACCTGCCAACATCTATAGAGCGAGCAGCGCGTGGTCGAGGCTGGATGTTTGAAAGACACACCCTGGAGCTCTTCGCCAAACACAAAGTTGGAGCCAAAGGTTTGAGCCCCTCAAACCTTTGGCTCCAATTGGACTTCGGTGACTTTGTGCTTGATGAAACTAGGAACCCCGCTGTTCTAACTTTGCGAGTGATTATAGAGCAGCGATCTCAAACTCATTTAAGTGTGAGGACCAGATAGCCCAACCAAGAAAGGTCGAGGGCCAATGTTAGCCGGGAGGGGGGGGGAGAGATATGCTATCTGGTGCACTCTGCCTTTCAAAAACTTGCGGCTTCGCCCATCTTTAGCTTTAAAGGGGCACTGACACATCAAAATCATTTTTTTTTTTATTATTCGAAACGATTGAAAATGATGCGAGGACATTACCCTCAAAATTCAAAACTTGGGAATTCAGTATTTATGAAGTAAAAAAACAATTTCCAAATGCCGAATTCGAAGTTCCTGTGCAATCTGCACAGGCGCATTGACGTCAAATATTGCGGAGTCCTGAGAGTCCACTTTCTTTCACAACTCCGTGCTGTTGCCATTGCAACCCAAAGCGAGGAAGAAAGGAGCGAGCGCTGGCGAACCGATTTTGAGCGGTGTCGCCCGTTTTCCATGGGAGGATATAAATCCAGGAGGCGGCACCACAACGGACTCCGATTTTTGGTATTTCAAAAATAAGAGCCGTAGTGCGTTCGCAATTGCGTTAAAAAACACGTTTTACGATTGCGTTATTTAATGTTATAAAAATGTCACCTACAAACCTTCTAAATTTCATGATTCTTGACGTCACAAATCAAAAGAAGCGAGGAGGTGAAAAGCAGGAGAGGAGAATGCCAAAAATAAAAAGGCACGCGCGCGCGCGTAAGAAAGTTTTTTTTTTTTGCGATGCATTTCTTTTTTTGCGTGTCTATGACTACAACGTGCATCGTTTCAGACAATAAAAAAAAATATGACCCTTGGGGTGTCAGTGCCTTTTTAATTTGTTTACAGGACTATACCTTTGGCTTTCACATGATGTGAAAAGAATTAAACTGGCACCACCCAACCATGAAGCCGGCATTTTTTGTAGAACAAGAGAGAAAGCAAGCTGTCCATTCCCATTGCTCAATTCACGCAAAAATTAAACAAGCTTAGCATGTGCTTTGAGTTTTTGCTTCCCTGACGATATTTGCAGCAGCTGTCTGGGAAAATACTTGTATTTTAATGGTGATATTTTCTGAATGCGAAAATCCTGAGGTCATAGCTTTATCAAATACTTTATTATGAGGAATACATCCAATTCCCTGTAAGTACAATGGCCTCGGCACGGAAAGGTTTAGTGCAGTTTGAATGACTGGACGACTAGCAACCTTGGGTTTTTCCGCATTGAATTGGGAGTGGTGGGAGGCACCACCGATTCTTAAGGAAGTTGCGATTATCAGGCATTCGTGCCGGTAGGCAAAAGGCGCACCGCAGGCAGTTTGATTGATACAAGTGTTTGCTCCATATGTGCCATAGCTTGTTCCCTAAACATTTTTAGAGCAGAAAGATGTTTTTGTTCTGGCGCGGTGAGACGTATTCCCTAGTAAAGTATTTGGCTTTATCTTTGACAGCCGTTTTTAGCTGAAAGTGTTTGTGCAGCAGAGGTGCACCCTTAAAGAGTAACTGCAAAGAAAAAAAAGTGTTTTTTTAAACAGCCTAATTGGAACAAGCATGTCACAAAACAAATTTTCCACGAAGAAAACAAATTTTTTCTAGCAATATTTACGCCACAGGACGTAATTTAGTCGGAGTCACAATTTCTCCACATTTGAATTTCCCGCTCATTCGACGCACGCAGTGTGGCTGTTATACGTCATCCCGTGACGTATAGCAGCCACTACGTGACGTATAATACCAACTTTGTGGTGCACAATTTAAAACGGACGAAATAGCCGCAAACTAAAATCAGTCTCGCGCAATAAATATTGCTGTAAAAAATTTTGTTTTTGGCAAAAAGATTGTTTTGTGACATGCTTGTCCCAATTAGTCTGTTTAAAAATACACTTTTTTTTTCCTTTGCAGTTACTTTTTAAAGGGACCGTGAAGGCAGTTTCGAAGTTTTATTCGACGATTAAAATGGATGTCAGGCACGTCTCAGATACTGTTGACCAAGTTCTAGCCCGAACAGAAGTTTGGGTGCCGCACCAATCGAGCAAAGAGGCGCGGTAATAATAGCGCCGGGAACGATGCCCGAGACCCCACCGAGGCAGCGGCAGAAAGGTGAACTAAAGTGTGCCGTCGAAGCGTGACGTCAACGGGCTCCTCGTCTGGCGATTGGTTCAAACGATAGACGCGCTCTTTGTTTCAATTTCGGTGGTGAGATGTGATGAAAAATTTTTATTTGAACGTTGGATAATCTTTTGAAGTTGTATTTAAGAATTAAAAGGTTTCATACCGTGTATAAAAGCATAATCTGAAGCGATCCCTCCGTTTGTCACTGGTTGAACGGATCCCGCACTGCTACCTCGGGCGCGTAACAAGCATCGAGCAACCATGGACAAAAAAAAATAAAAAGGTATGAGCGCCGGGGGCGGCGGACTTTTGGTTTTGGTTTCGTGCGTCGTCTCGTGTTCGCTTTGCGAACTGGTGTCTCACCAATCGTGCCGCGTTTATGTGCAGTACTAGGTTGCGCGAAAGGTCGGCTAAAGACGTGCGGTCGATCGGGCGACGTCAGTTTACATAAACTGCCGACCGATGCAGCAATGCGCAACATTTGGTTGCGCGCCGTCGTCTTGCGTAGAGCTGTGGACAGCGGTGTCAAGATTTGTTCGTTGCATTTCCGACCAGAAGACTTTGAGCAGCACCTTCACGTCAGCCGGAGTCTGGGTAAAAGTGGGGCGGGGAGTCGCTCTGAGGCGGCGACCGAGGAGTTGGTGGTAGGTCTGGGGTGCCCTCGTAAAGCGCCAATCCAGAGTTCTGCGTCCTTAGCAGCATCTCCCGTTCAGCCGGCGTGAGGTCGCTGAATGGAAGCTCAAACTCGTTTGCGAGCGTGGCGTTGTCGTCCATTTCTTCCAGGTTTTCTTCACAGACCGCCGTGCACTAGAGCGAACCACGGGAACCACACTGAGTGTGCACTAAATCCTACCGATGCCGACAGTGCTCCCTGACGTCACTTCTCTTTCCAGAGGCGAAAAAGGAAAGAAATCTTAAAGTTTGTTTCGGTTTCGCAAATTTATTTGCAGGTACAAAAATAAGAGTCACAACGTTCTAGAAAAAATTGTGTGGCATGCCAGGACCCCAATGCTTCCGAAAACACCTTTTTTAAAAAAAATTATATTGCCTTCATGGTCTCTTTAAGAAAACAGCTTGCAGTTGCAGCCTCGTCTCACCTAAGCATGGACTATCGTTAGCCACGCTTGCTAAAAGTGCGAGCTAGTTGCTTTGGGTGAAGCCCCGGCAGCTGCACGAGCGCTCGTCGAGCGAGTACTCCAGTTAAGGCAGTCAAGGCTCGCCTCTCGTGCTTGCACAGCCTTTGCAGTTAGTCCACGCTAAGAAGAGACGAATATATTAGCGGAATAGACTTTTTTTTACCCAAGCATCAAAAAGAATGTTGTGAACATAAGTACACGTGCTGCACGCGTTCGCCTTATCCATATTAAATATTCAAAGTAAACAACCATATTAAGACGTTGATGGACGCGTGTGCAAAGTGCAATTTGTATTGGAATTTTACTTTAGAAGAGTTACTGCTGCAGAAGGCAGTACATGAAGTGTATGCACTGCCTGTACTACGTCAGAGCCAATCAGAGCTCGGTGTTCTTACGTCACTGCAACCCCTGCAAAAGGAGCAAACTTGTGCTTTGCGTTGTCATACAGGGGTCAATCCATGTCAAACGTCCCAGGTGTTGCGCACGACCATCTTCGATTTCTAAAAGAAAAGTCATGGCCTTCTGCCGCATTGTCCATAGCCATGCCCTAAAATATTTTTGACAAAAAAATTTTTTTGATGGCGTGAGCACGGTCTTAACTTTTAAAAATAGTGTGAAACTAGGTATCACTATAATTTATAAAAAAAAAACTATTTTATGAAACACCCAACAATATTTTTTTCTTAAATCTGCACGGCTTTTGACTTGCAATGTGGTTGGGCTTGTGCAGTTTTTATTAATTTAAATGTCTCTTAAGATACAACTTTTTTTTAACATTAACATTTTTGTTATTTTATTACAAAATATCTAACAGCTTTAGGGACTTAATAGAACTTTTTACAGGCTGCCCTGCAGGTATATAATCTATAAAAAAATGTTTAAACCGCTCAATTAAATATCTCGCAGTAAAAAAAAATCCTGAAGTTGCCAAAAAGTTTGTTTTGACGCATAAACAGCCGTTTATTTCACCCTGAGGTGGTCTAAGTAAAAATACAAAATCTGGTGGGTTTGAAAGAACAATCGATTGTACAAGGTTCTATTAAATCCCCAGAGCAATTCAACATTTTTAATAAAGTAACAAAAATGTCAAAAGTTTCAAACAAAGTTGTGTTTTTAAAAAACATTTGAATTAAACAAAACTACACAAGCTCAACCACATTGCAAGTCGAAAGCTGTGCAGATTTAAGAAAAAAATATTGTTGGGTGTTTCATAAAAAAAGCTGATTTTTCATAAATTTTAGATTGATGCATAGTTTCACACTATTTTTAAAAATTAAAACCGCGCTCACGCCATCAAAAATTTTTTTCGTCAAAAATATTTTAGGGCATGGCTACGGACAATGCGGCAAAAGGCCATGAATTTTTTTTTAGAAATCGAGGGTGGCCGAGTGCAACGTCTGGGACGTTTGGCATGGAATGACCCACAGGTGGTTTTAACATGACAAATAGCTGGGAAGCAAAATTAAAATAAAACACAAAGCAAATGAAAACAGAATAGAATAAACTATAGGAACACATTATTAGAGCATAGCTAAGCTTTGAACGGAAATGAATCAGCGACATGAGATCAATATGGGAGATGCCATTTCAAGCATGTTGAATAAACCCGAGACTGGGGCAGAAATGAACGTACAAGTCGAAGGAACAGAAAAGGACAGGACAACGTCGTCCTGTCCTTTTCTGTTCCTTCAACTTGTATGTTCATTTCTGCCCCAGTCACAGGTTTATTCAACACGGTTAACGTTCACCAGCTCCGCCTGCACCCTTACTATATTATCCCATTTCAAGCGCTTGAGACATGGGAACAAGCCGGGCTCGAAGCCGGTTGGTTGCCTCCGGGCCGCTTCCCAGTGAGGCGCAGGCCGCGTGTTTGAAACCCTTGTTATAGAGGTCTTAAATTCACCTTCTGCTCCCTACGAACAAGCTCAGACTCCCATCTAATGCGTCGTTCCGAGGCATGGCAACGTCGGACTTCCGCCGCTCCTCGTCATGCTCCCTCTCACCTGCGGGGGTTCCTCTGCTGGGGCTGGGCCGTGGGGGAGGCGTCCCCCCAGGATGGCGTCCCCAGGAGGGTGTGGTAGCCCAGGTCCCCTCCCGGGGACATGCTGCGGAGGGCCTTGTCCCCTGGCAGCCGCACGCCGCCCGAGTGGCCCGCCACCGAGTCCCCGCATCGGGGCTCCATGGGGTCGCCTCAGCTGGCTGGGCAACGGCCCCAGCCCCCGCCACGGGCCCCCTCTGTCCGCCCACCTGCGACCAGGGGCACGGCCTCTGCAATCTGAGTCTGCCAAGGGAGTCTGTACAGGGCTCGACTTTAAGATGTGGATACAATGTGCATAGTACCGTAGTGGCACGACTGTAGGTTGACCCATTTACAACGTCACAAACCAGGAGCTATCACGGCGCTCAGGTGTTCCCAAAAAGTTTTGATGCGCTAAATGCTAGAATGAGAGCACACGACGAAGTTTTTGGGTGTCATAGTTTCTTGGGCCTGTGCGACTGCAGCCATCCTTGCGCTCCCCAGTCTGTTACGTCATTGAGAGATCCTGCCTCCCTAGACGTTGAATCCAAAACCACCGAGAAAAAAGAATGTGAAAATAAGGGAGTGGAATGCGCATACCAAAAGTGCCGCTGCTGCAAACATTCAGTCTTGGGCAGTACCTAGTTACTAGTTATGCGTTACCGATAACTAGTTAATTTTTTCAACAAGCTATAACTGTAACTCGTTACTGCTTAGTGAAAAGAACTTGTAACTGTAACAGAGTTACTGTTTTCCAAAAGTAACTGTAAAAAGCAACGTTGTTACAGTTACTTCTGAGATTTATCTGCAAAAATATTGCAAACACGACCACCAAATCATCTCGCAACTCGAGAGAGTCCCAAGTCCTGGTACGAGAAGGGCACAGCAAAAACTGCTGCAGAAAACGTCTAAAGCAGGAGGAGAAAAAAAAAAATATATATATATATATATAAAGAAACTAAATTTTGGGTGACCCTGCTTGGCCAAGCTGGTCCTGCTAACTGGGAGGATGGGAACGTTTGTGTCCGTACATGTCGTGTATGGTACATCGGCATTTCTAAAGCATTTTACTTTTCTTCGTCCAACGGAGGCAGCGAGTGCTTTTTGGAGAGGAGAGTTTTTGGTGATTGTTGCCCCCAACGCCCGCAGGCTTATGGCACAACCGATTTTCCGAACCTCGTCTTCTTGCCGGCAAGCATTCGTTGCCTTCACCTCTAATTGAAATAGTTCAACTCTCAGATGCACTCTTGCAGGGTCTCGACTTCAGGCGCATTTGAGCTCCCTTCCTTTTTTAGCGCGCAGCTCTTAGGTGCCCATTTCCGCGTTTCGTGGTGTCGGCGTAACCGCCCACTAAATTTAGCGGGAAACCGATTTAGTGTTGAGGTCACGGAATGTCAATTTTCCCGCTAAATCTAGCAGAAAAAAGTGAAAGCCGTTTACAGCTCCCTGTAACGCCGAATTTGAGCGCAGCTCTTGAGGAGGAGGAGGGAAGGGTACTGGGGAGGTGGGTCACGTGACCTTGGGGGGTCACGTGACGATGCCGATGACGTCATCAGTGACGTCGCTGATGACGTCATCAGTGATGATGACGATGACGATGTGGTGGCCGGTGACGTCATAAGTGACGTCACTGATGACGTCATCAGCGATGATGACAATGAAGATGTGGATGCCGGTGACGTCATCAGTGACGTCACTGATGACGTCATCGGGGGGTCACGTGACCTCAGGGGGAGGGGGTCACGTGACCTCCGGGAGAGGTTCACGTGACCCTGAGGGAGGTCACGTGACCTCGGAGTGGTCCCGTCACCTGGGGGGGTAACGTGACTTGGGGTGTCACATGATCTTGGGGGTCACGTGACCGTGCGGTGACCTTGGGGGGTCGCGTGACCTTGGAATGACCTTGGTTATGCCGACGACGACGGCGACGCCGCTCAAGCCGGGAACGGGCCCCTAAGAGCTGCACTCTAAAACTGAATTTGTTCATGGGTGACGTGACACGAAGTCATGTGATGTCATTTTCTCCGCTATATTTAGCGGGGAAACTTAACCCACTAAAAATAGAGAGGAAATAGACGTCATATGACGTCAATGCCAATTGAGTTTCCCCGCTAAATTTAGCGGGGAAAATGACGTCACATGACTTCATGTCCAGTCACCCGAGAAAATTCAACGGGAGGAGGAGAGGAGGAGGAAAGGAGGAGGATGAAAGAGGAAAAGACGGGAGCAGGAGAATACGAGGAGGAGGGTGCAGAGGAGGAGGAGGGGCACACAATCCCCTCCTCAAGAGCTGCACTCTAGTTTCGCATTACAAAGATTTGTAAACGTCTTTCATTTTTTTTCTACATTATCGGCGAGCTTCACAGAGACTGCCCGAGATTTTAAGAAATTTAGTTGAATAAGATGAGAGAAGGTCACGTTGCAAGGCGTCAATTACGACCGCTGCCGTCTCGCAGGTTGGGGACTCTGGCCTGGCCTGCTCTCAAAGTTTGCAAGGGAAGCTTCGTGTTTCATGAAAGATTGTGCGCATGCAGCAGAAAACAATTCGATCGACGAGTGGATTGGCATGGCATAAGAAAACTTCTACAAAGTTGATTGCAAGGTATGACTTATATTAATGTGAAAGCATTAACTGTCCCATGGAGCACCGCCGGCATTGTCTGTGACCGCGGAGAACAGATCCCGAATAAACAACAGTTAAAATGACTACATGGAGTGCAGCCAGCGTTGTATGTGACTGTAGAGAATGCGTCCCGAATAAACGGCAGTTAAAATGTCTGCGACACATCATAGTCCTGAGGAACGCCACGCTACAGAGGAGCTCTCTTCCTGGTGCTGTGGCCCATGCGCCAATCAAGGGGAGCCCGCTCCGCCGGGGTGCGGGTGTAGGAATGTTTTCGCATTCCTACACATAAGCAGTCTTAAGTGTCCTCCTGTAATTTTTATTGACTTTACATTTGCACGATTTTTATTGCTTCCGTCCGATTTTGCCTCATCAAAAAAAGTCTGAAATTAGGAATGATTGATTGTAAACTGGCACCATGATTGGGTACACACGAGATCTGGACGTGTGCTGTTGTTGTGTTTGTGTATACCGTATGATGGTCGCGCTTTATTTTAAAGTTCTCCATGGACCAGGTATCTGCTATGTCAAAATTTTGAAAAACTAAAGTTGCCTGTAATTTTGTTAAAGAAGAGAGACTAAATCCTTTATCATACATTGGATTCACTCGAATACTGCCTTAAATTATGATCTTGTTCGAGGAGCTATTCATGGTAAAAATTTAAATAGGAAGAACCAAACATGTTAATACTGTTTATTAAGAAAATCTTAGTTTCTCAAAATAATCAGATTCACTATACCGCGAACAACACAATGTCATATAAGAAATCTATGCTAATTTAAAGGGATATTAAGGAAGATTCCTTTTGAATGTTTTCTACCGTAGTATCCCGTGAGATAGCCCACCTAAAATCGAAAGCTAATCAGGTGCAGATAAGGAGTGGACCAACCTTCGGTGCGCGATAAAAAAGGTTGAAAAAATGCTCGTTTTAAATTTTGTGACCAGCGAATCTTGTGATTGCAGGGAGTGGCAATGAACCAAAGACGATTGTCCTTCCCAGCAAGCAATGTTTGCTTATCTCCTTCCATGGCTAAGTAACATCATTTCTGCAATTGTCAACATTGGGCAGGGCCCTGCAATTGCTAGAAGTGGGCTATCTTCTATGTTTTTGCAGAAATAGAAAACCAGGCCAAAAATAGGGGTGGGTTAGCTCTCGATGGTGGGACATCTCTTGGGATATTACGACGGTGATTTCATTGTAAAGTAATGATGAAATAACGGCCTTAGTGAAATAACTGTAACAACTTATACCTCTGTCAGACAGGCACCTAAGAGGACCTTTACGCCAAAGGCCTTTAGGATTTTCAAATGACCTTTAGGTTTTGCCGTGCCAGACAGCATAAGTAAATGAGATTTAGAGTATGTTTGCAGCGACTGAAGTCTCATAACTCGTTCAAACGCATAAATCATGTTCACGCCAAAAAAATAATATTTTGGTGATCTAAATAAGTTTATAAGTTTTTCTTGAGCAAACAAAATATTAAAAAGGACAAAATGATGAGTTTAGTCGAGTGATTACAACAAAAAACCTCTTTAAGCCCAAGCAAAGTAGTTTTTTTTGGCGATTAGCGGCAACCCTGAGCGTCCCCCGCTCACGCAGTTCTAGTCCTAACGCTGCTCGGAGCTCCCGCTCCTTCCCGTGGTTCTGCGTTGCTTTTGCCCTGTTCGGTTCGGCATCATGCTCGCACTTGAGTTTCATCACATGCGTCGAAGTTCCTCCAGCCGATCCTCCAAAAGTTGTATCATCACCCAGGTCGCCTGAACGCTCCAATGGAAGTGCGGCGATCCATTCCTAGTTGTGGATGCTCCTCCGTTTTTGACATATCGCACGACACGAGAGTGAGATACAAAAATATATATGAACAAAAAACAGTTAGCAATCCACTATTAAAGGACGATAAAATATAAAGTAGAGAAATAAAAGCTAGATAACTATGGTAGTAAGGAAACTCAAGAGTTGGAAAAGTGCCAAAGCAGACGATGCGAGCAAGCCAGCAGCGGGACGACAAGGCCCACTAGATAGCTGGGGCCGTGAGTACAGAAAACTATTAGTAGAGCGAGGTCTTTACAGAATATATGTGAAACACTCTTTTTTAATAGTAGACATACAAAAACATTGATTTTAGATATCAGTACATTTTATTTCAGTTCTCTTCTCTAGTGTAGACCACTGCTGACGAGAGTATGCCTTTAGCAGCCGTAAAGGGGTTGCGGGAACTCAGGTTCACGAAAATGACCTTTACGCTAAATGCCATTTGAGTTGCCGTGTGGCACTGCTTAAATGACATTTACACCAAAGGTTCTTTGGCGTAAAGGTCCTTTTAGGTGCCCGTCTGACAGGGGTATTACTCTTTCAATTTTGTAACTGTAACTGTAACAGGGTTACCAGACTTTTTTAACCTGAGTATCTTTAAGTGTAACGCTTGTTGCATTTTAGCAGTAACGTCCCCTTGAACGCAAACATTGTTTCTGAGTTTGTAAAGTGTCCAGATATGTGGCTAACAGACTTCCCGTGTAATTGGTGTATCCACTATGTCGTTTACTAACACCAAGTGTTGGTTAGTTTCTTCATCGCCTAAAATAATGTGACAGTCTGGGGTGTTGGG